CGATTTGCGTCCCCTCATGAGGTCTACTTAAAATAAAATTAGCTCATGTCATGCAAAGACCAAAGCTCTTCAGCGATTAAAGCAGATTTTGCAGGATGAAATCCTAATAACATAAATTTATCTGTTTCGCCAAAATGAATCCCAATATAATTTCCAACCATTTCGCGCACCTCTTCAGCTTTTATGTTTTGTTTTCCGAATGGGGGTCTCAATGGTTCTTTCCTTTGTTTTTTAAATGTATGCATTTATATACTCGTGAACAGATCGAAATTTGAAAAAAAAAAACAAAGGTCTCTAGAACCTACATTGGGAAAAGAAAATATACAAGCTGATTCGGAGGTTTAAAGCTACCATATAATCATACGACATACGACGACAATTGTTCCCGTGGAGACAAAAAGTTTCGCGATAGAATTTTTCCCCCCCTCAGCAAAGCGAGGGATTTGTTTTGTTTAAATACCTGACACATATCGGATTCGTTAATCTCACCTTAACTTGTGAAGCTATCTCATTAACAAGGTATGTTGAGCTAGTGAAAAGGTTTTTCACTCTTGGAGAAAATTTTATCTTGAATTTCTGATTTTCTTGGGGTAGGATTTGATAATTTCCTCAAAGTCAGACTTTATTAGATAGACCGTCTAAGGCTGGGAAACTGCACGTAATGCTCATCCTCAGGCAATAAAAGGCGGCACGTTCTTAAATATTGCGCCGATATGCCAGTGATAGAGTTGCCACCGTCTGGTGTAATGATGCATAAACCATCCTAGGAAGATACTATGAACTCAACCGCGTACAACCGCACAGAGGCCCGAAGTCATCGTTGCTGGCAAGCTGATGGTCTGTTCCAGGCGTTCAGCGAATAAAACAGGGCAATCCAAGTGAAACAATCAACGGGGTGATAGTAGCAGCAGAGCGAAGAACGAAAGGGAGATTTGGGTCCCTTAGTTTTCCAATCTTTCCGCCCAACTATAGAGCTGAGGATTACGTAAATTTTATTTTAACCCTACCAAAATTCTTCCTCTTCCCGTACCGGAGTAACATGGCCGAACTTTCGTTTCCCGCTGACTATACCAACGCGTAGGGATTACCTTAAGGGGCAAATGTCTTAAGTTAGCAAATAACTTTAGCAGTACAGACTTTCTACTTGAACAGATGGCTCCAAGAAGATAATAAGATTCATCATAAACAAAACCAACAGGAAGAGTACGGATTTCGTTTATATTAATTGTTTTCATTTTGTTTAAAATTTGGCATTTGTTACAACTTTCAGACCCGTCATAAGTGTTTTTTACTTCCAGTTAAAATGGCTCTACTTAACTTCTCAAGAGTGATGCTGGCGCTCAATACTGATATGTGCATCAGCTTGTATCAAAAGAAAATATCATTATCATATTCTCTTGCTTATACTCCTTCCTCTTGCTAGCAGAAAGCGATGTTGTTTTTTTCCATCCAGTTTAAGGGTTTCAGTAACGCTTTCCATTGGCGCTGTCAGTAGAGGCGTCTGTGTCGGGAAAGGGGCCGTAAGGCGAAATCCGAATGCGAGAACTTGCAAGCTACAGAGATAGCTGTGAGAGGACGCATAGCTGGTAGTAGACCATCTGCAAACGGAGTTTAATGAAACCCCTGTTAAAAAGCATTTGTATTTATAAACACTTATTTGTGGCGACACCTTAATGTTCTGACTTTAGGCCAGAGTGAGTCACAGGATGAAGTTCACGCACTTGATGGTTATCGTTGTTGCAGTGTCTTTCTCCGTATTCAACACAGGTTGGTTATACGTATTGCTCCCAGCATATGAACAATTATGTCATCTCATCATGAAGAGAGCAAATCGAACACGACAGTGTAACCCCCCAGAGATTTATGCGATTGTCTGACGATAGGTCGTCAAAGTCAATTTATCCGATCCCGCCTAAATACATCTGTTTACAGGCACGCACTGATTCAAATAGTATAAACACACAAACTTCAAAATAAAGCAACAAAATCACACACAAATAAAAGGTTCAGACGAATTCCCCAACCAGTCAACCACGTTACGAACACTATTCAACTACCTCCCTCCCCCAGCCTCCCGAATTTTTTTAACTGAAGTTGATTCTTACCTTCTGTGTTTTAGTCCGCGCCCTTCGATGTAATGTGTGCCTAAGCTCAGTCTCCTGGGATGACTGTGAACAGAACACTCAAAAGTTGACGTGCGAATCAGAGGATACTTACTGTCACCGCCACATGACGAGTTCTGAGGTTATGGGCATCACGATTGTAACTTTTTCAAAAGGTTGTGCAACATCTGACAAATGCACACCTGAAGCAATTGATCGGTGTAAAAACGCTAAAAACACTGACCTTCAGGGAATGCCTGGAGTTACAGCAGTCGATTGTGACTTGCAATGCTGCCAGGGAGATTTGTGTGATTAGCATGTAAAAATGTCTGTGATTCACACCAGAGTAAACGATTTTCTCAGTAGGATGTTAGGAGTTTTCATGTGAAGAAAATAAAAAAAAAAGGAAATGAAACTCTGATTTTTTTTTTTGTCTATAGCCATGGCGTATTTGAGAGCGACTTTTCTCAGAGTACACCTATATTTTAAAACGAGTTTTCTCGTATCCCAGAAGGAAGAGCAAGACTCAAAAACCCGCTTATCAATTCGAGGTCGTCAAGAGTTTTTAAACGAGGTAGACTAAATATATCATGAGTTCAAGCCTTACATAGAAGATCAGTTCCATAATCCAAAGCTGTTTTTGTCATGATAATCAATAACCTGTAAATATAAGGTCATATCGCAATCATAGCATCGTAAATACTTAAGTAAGATCAGGCAAAAGAAGATACACATGAAAAGCAAGAAAAAAGCGAAGAGAGAGAGAAGATTACAATGCTTGATTAAAAAGCAATTCAGCTTGCTTAGTTTGTAATAAAATGAATAGTTCACATCTTTAAATGATTTGTTTTCAGAGCGAATAAGGCAAACGTTTGCATTAAACAGTCCACTGATTGGTACTATGACAATATCGTTACCGTGGAAAAAATCCGGTTTACTTGTTTTTAAAAATTTCTCTATCAGTAAAATGCTATCCCATCCAATGTTTCAGCAGTTTTGCGTATTTTAAGGGTTGCATTTATAATCAGGATCTACAAGTTGTTTGGGAGGTTAATCGTCACCAATCGAACCCGACTCCCGAAAGCGGCGCAAATTTTGCCTAATTTATTTTAACTCTAAGTTATACGCTGATTAAAAATTCGTGTTCATCACTACAGTCTTAAGAGTAGCACCTTTAATGAGTCTTATAATGACAATTTAGTGGAGTTCTGGGATTAATAATAAATTTCAAAGAGTCTTAGAAAGTTTTAAACACTTTTAAAGAGGCAAAAGGTGATACGTAAATTATAAGGTTTAACGAGTTTTGAACTTAAATTTTACGCTACACAAATTTCTGGAATCCTATTGGTTAATTCCTAAGCATAGACTATTGGCTGCTTGGTTGCAAAAATCCCTTAAGATCAAGAATTCATAGAAACGTTTGGCCGTTTTTAGAGAAATTTCAATTTATCGTCGAAAACAGTCTGGGTCGCCTGGCTTTTGTTAAGCCTTCAGCGGTAGGCTTCCTATCAATCAGATGCAAAATTTAGAGTTCTTTTCAATCGAGTGTCGAAAGAAGTCTGGCTAGCCTAGGTTTGCATTACTTCCCTCTGTGATTGGTCCTGAAAATTTACACTACCCCCCTCAACCAATCAGATACAGCTGAAACCAATCGCAACCCGGTCACATGCATTTTCCCACGCTTTAGGCAACTTGTTTTTATCTTAAGTTCTCATTGGCTCCTTAGTATTTTCTTTCGCTAAGATAGGTTGAGTCCTAGGACACTTAATCGAAAAGCACTTTTAAGACCAATCACGACTTAGTCAGTTACATTTTTGCTTACTTCAGGCATTTCTCTACTTATAATTTTTCTTGGTAGTTCATCTTTCTTTGGTCTGAGTGGCTACAGCGATAGACTATTAAATTGCACTTTATTCCTTTTTAATTCCTTTTAATCAAGATCAGACGAATGAAGGTGACAAGATGAGCTGTGAAGCTAAGTGCTTCCCCGATTGTATGACAAACGAGATCAACGAGTGTGTGGAGGCCTGCCAGCGATTCTGCCCAGTAACATGATGAGATCTCGTTTGGAATTCGGTCACGCGCGACTCGGATTACGATGAGTTATCATCGGAAATTGTCGATAAACGTTTTTGCAGAGAAAAAAATAACAGAACGAGGGCCAACTTTACGAGGTTTGATATCCAGCCTTCCCCGGACTCCGCAAAATTACGGACAGACTCCGGTTTCTTCACGTACCAAGGGATCTTCAGAATCTGCAGCAATATTTATTCACTGAACAAGGAAATTCTAAAAAAAGTGTTTCTATCATAATGGTGCACTGATGCACAATCAACTCGATAGAACTAATTTTTTTTTTCCGATTTTTTTCTGACACGTACGTTCTATTGATGGCAACGAATTTTAATTGCAAAGACTATTCTCGATAATTCAACGACGATTTGTTCCACAAGTGGAGGTCTTCTTAAAATAAAATTAGCTCATGTCATGCAAAGACCAAAGCTCTTCAGCGATTAAAGCAGATTTTGCAGGATGAAATCCTAATAACATAAATTTATCTGTTTCGCCAAAATGAATCCCAATATAATTTCCAACTATTTCGCGCACCTCTTCAGCTTTTATGTTTTGTTTTCCGAATGGGGGTCTCAATGGTTCTTTCCTTTGTTTTTTAAATGTATGCATTTATATACTCGTGAACAGATCGAAATTTGAAAAAAAAAAAACAAAGGTCTCTAGAATATCATCCCATGACCTACATTGGGAAAAGAAAATATACAAGCTGATTCGGAGGTTTAAAACTACCATATAATCATACGACATACGACGACAATTGTTCCCGTGGAGACAAAAAGTTTCGCGATAGAATTTTTCCCCCCCCCTCAGCAAAGCGAGGGATTTGTTTTGTTTAAATACCCGACACATATCGGATTCGTTAATCTCACCTTAACTTGTGAAGCTATCTCATTAACAAGGTATGTTGAGCTAGTGAAAAGGTTTTTCACTCTTGGAGAAAATTTTATCTTGAATTTCAGATTTTCTTGGGGTTAGATTTGATAATTTCCTCAAAGTGAGACTTTATTAGATAGACCGTCTAAGGCTGGGAAACTGCACGTAATGCTCATCCTCAGGCAATAAAAGGCGGCACGTTCTTAAATATTGCGCCGATCTGCCAGTGATAGAGTTGCCACCGTCTGGTGTAATGATGCATAAACCATCCTAGGAAGATACTATGAACTCAACCGCGTACAACCGCACAGAGGCCCGAAGTCATCGTCGCTGGCAAGCTGATGGTCTGTTCCAGGCGTTCAGCGAATAAAACAGGGCAATCCGAGTGAAACAATCAACGGGGTGATAGTAGCAGCAGAGCGAAGAACGAAAGGGAGATTTGGGTCCCTTAGTTTTCCAATCTTTCCGCCCAACTATAGAGCTGAAGATTACGTAAATTTTATTTTAACTCTACCAAAATCTTCCTCTTCCCGTACCGGAGTAACATGGCCGAACTTTCGTTTCCCGCTGACTATACCAACGCGTAGGGATTACCTTAAGGGGCAAATGTCTTAAGTTAGCAAATAACTTTAGCAGTACAGACTTTCTATTTCTACTTGCACATATGGCTCCAAGAAGATAATAAGATTCATCATAAACAAAACCAACGGGAAGAGTACGGATTTCGTTTATATTAATTGTTTTCATTTTGTTTAAAATTTGGCATTTCTTACAACTTTCAGACCCGTCATAAGTGTTTTTTACTTCCAGTTAAAATGGCTCTACTTAACTTCTCAAGAGTGATGCTGGCGCTCAATATTGATATATGCATCAACTTGTACCAAGAGAAAATATCATTATCATATTCTCTTGCTTATACTCCTTCCTCTTGCTAGCAGAAAGCGATGTTGTTTTTTCCATCCAGTTTAAGGGTTTCAATAATGTTTTCCATTGGCGCTGTCAGTAGAGGCGTCTGTGCCGGGAAAGGGGTCGTAAGGCGACCGAAATCCGAATGCGAGAACTTGCAAGCTAAAGAGACAGCTGTGAGAGGACTCATGGGTGGCAGTAGACCATCTGCAAACAGAATTTAATGAAACCCCTGTTAAAAAGCATTTGTATTTATAAACACTTATTTGTGGCGACACCTTAATGTTCTGATTTCAGGCCAGAGTGAGTCACAGGATGAAGTTCACGCACTTGATGGTTATCGTTATTGCAGTGTCTTTCTCCGTATTCGACACAGGTTGGTTATACGTATTTCTCCCAGCATATGAACAATTATGTCATCTCATCATGAAGAGAGCAAATCGAACACGACAGTGTAACCCCCCAGAGATTTATGCGATTGTTTGAACGATAGGTCGTCAAAGTCAATTTATCCGATCCCGCGTAAATACATCTGTTTACGGGCACGCACTGATTCAAATAATATAAACACGCAAACTTCAAAATAAAGGAACAAAATCACACACAAATAAAAAGTTCAGACGAATTCCCCAACCAGTCAACCACGTTATGAACATTATTTAACTACCTCCCTTCCTCAGCCTCCCGAATTTTTTAAACTGAAGTTGATTCTTACCTTCTGTGTTTCAGTCCGCGCCCTTCGATGTAATGTGTGCATAAGCTCAGTCTCCTGGGATGACTGTGAACAGAACACTCAAAAGTTGACGTGCGAATCAGAGGATACTTACTGTCACCGCCACATGACGAGTTCTGAGGTTATGGGCATCACGATTGTAACTTTTTCAAAAGGTTGTGCAACATCTGACAAATGCACACCTGAAGCAATTGATCGGTGTAAAAACGCTAAAAACACCGACCTTCAGGGAATGCCTGGAGTTACAGCAGTCGATTGTGACTTGAAATGCTGCCAGGGAGATTTGTGTGATTAGCATGTAAAAATGTCTGTGATTCACACCAGAGTAAACGATTTTCTCAGTAGGATGTTAGGAGTTTTCATGTGAAGAAAATAAAAAAAAAAGGAAATGAAACTCTGATTTTGTTTTTGTCTATAGAATTAGTTGAATGTCTGATAATTAGCTCTACTAAACTATTTTTTAACCTTGTCCACAGAGCAACTTTGAACGTCAAAAGTAATTCGGGATTGCTTTAGCTTCGCCTCACAGTACTTCGCTCTGTCACTGATCCAAAAACCTCGCACCCTTTCTTGGATAATCAGATTCAAAACTAACACCAGGCGCGTTTCCCCGAGTTTTTTTTTTATCTCAAGTTCTTACTGCCTCTCTGTGATATTTTCCTTTGTTCTGATTGGCTGTGGTGATCACTCTTATTTCCGTTTTTATGACATCATATAACCGTATTTGAGGGTATCATGGAAACTGACACTAGTTATATGGAGAAATGTGGAAATTATGGTTCGGCTCTTCCTTTTCAAATATGTATTCTAAAATATGACGTCATTGAAAGAGGAAAGAAGTGGCATAGTTTAATACTTTGGGGATTAACAGTTCCACTGCAACGCTTCAATCGATCATAAGTCTGGTCAACAATAGCACTGGTATAATGCTCTTAGGAAAGCAAGCGTTTGTAAGAGGGTAACTAGGAATTAGTAGCACCTTCTTCGGCAAATAATTGTTAATTATCAATAAAACTAGCATGTACCCTTATAATGCTGATAAGATGCTAGGGTAGGAAATCCCTTCTTCTTTCCTTTTTTTAACTTTTGGTTTGTTTTACCTTGAAAACACTAGCCTTTTCATAAAAAAAAACAAACCAAAGACACTGTATAATTTTGTGTTGTTCTTATTATTCACTCTAGCTGAAATAAGTTTTAAATTAATCTAAGAAGTTTACAAGGCATATTAAATAAAGTAAGGCATTATCAATACAGAATGGCTGTACCATGCAGTAGTTCTTTTAAATAAAGTTCTGATGATTCAAAAACAATGGACTGAAATAAAAAACATTTCTTAAATGTAAGAGGCAGATTTAGTGGGTACATCTGCCGTAACAGTTTTAAATGCCTATTCAAGCAAGTGAAATATTTCATCTTCACACTTTTCTACAAGTTTTACCAATAAAAGAAGACATTAAGTTAAACAACAACAATAAAAAAAGGAACATTAATCTTATAAACTTTATACCTAACTATACTATAAATCCAATAACAATTTCATACTGTAACTCATGACGAGAGTATGAACCCAAAAGTCCTTGATGCATTATCATTCCAGGCAATTTTAATACACACTAAAGATGTACCTTCAAGACCTCACTCTGATTCCCTTGTTGTAATCAATTCTTTACCAACACTATATGACACCTAGTCATTTTTCAATTTAAAAGCCTGTAAAACATATAATGTATGTGATTTCAAAATAAATAGACTGTTCTCTTATCTCAACTTTTTAATTGTTCCTTGTGATTTTGAAGAACAGAAAATATATTTAGTCACTGTACCTGTAACGGAAGAAATGGTTTCTAAAGAAACATTTGTGCAACAAGTACATGTACCTCAGCATACAAATGAAACATATCTATTTATAATCAAAATGTTGGTATGGGCTAGTTATTAGCCAAATATGATTGTTACTACAATTTGTTTGCCCTTCTCAACATCATTATCAATGATAAATGAAAATAACAAAATAGAGTACTCTGAGAAATCAATGCCAATCATTTGGTAAAAATATATTCCCAAGCTGATTTCACCTTGACAATAAAATGCTATTAGCTACAGTAAAACTCATCATTTGTTTCATAGATCACAAAAACCACACTGAAAATTCTCTTTCATATTAACTAATTTTGAGGGGTCAAAAGACATAGAACTATTTCTCCATTACAAACATGGAAGTCAGTTTACTGTTCTAATTAAATAGACATGATGTTAATATGAATACTACCTCTAATGTGCCAATTTGTAATTCTTACAAAATGTTTCCATACCCAATACTTAAGTGCAGTAGACATAACCTTGGTGTGCATAGATAAAACAAATAGGAAATAATAATAATAATAATAATTAATAGGAAAACAAGGCAACAGATACATACATGCCCAGTACACAACATATACTGTGTACAGCTGCACAACATGGCCAACTGACAAACAAGCTTGTGTTTTACCAACTACTCTGTAGTGGATTTGTTAAACTAGCGGTATTACTTTTGGTTACTACATGCAAAGAGATTATGTTAACTTTCTCATGACCAAACCTTGATATACCTTAATGATAATGATTTAAATCTTAACATTACTCTGGCTAACATGTCAGCACTCAAGGCACAGAACATGTATATTTATATTTACTTAGTAACCTGATGCTCTTGGCTCACATCACCTATGATATAAATGCCTCACTATGTGCACAAGTATCATGTGTTTTTAGTCGTATACCAAACATTTTCTTGTTAAGACACATCGGTAGCCTCATCAACCTCCATACTCAGTTGTGGTTTCTCTGAACCAAGCAAGGCATCATTATCAAATTCACCAATGTCTGCACGGTATACCAGGGGAATGTCAGTTATGGGATCCAGAAGAGAAAAGTCCAGGTCATCATAGTTACGATTTGTGAGTTCGACTGTCCAGAAAGGTTTTTTCACACTAAAACGCCTGCTTTTGAAGTGCCGATAGATCAGGAATATGATCATAAACAGGGTGACTGCACCAAACGTGCTACAAACAGCAACAATGACTTTCTCTTTTGTTGAAAATCCTGGAACAAAACATGGCGTTAATACCTGAATTACAAGGTATTATTGCAAGGGTCAATGCCTCACTAAAGAAATTTGAAAGAAACCATACACAACCATCCCAATGTCCTTACAGCACAAGTGCATTTAAGTTGAATTATTGTGCTATTCATAAATGCAAGTTCACAAACAAAAGTCAAATGATCAAACACCATTCAGAGTTTCAATACAGGTTGAGCAATTTTAAAAAAAATTTACCTATGATCATGCAGTATTCAACAGTTAAATGTATAATAAACACATACATGAAAGTTTAAGCTGAGATTTAGAGCCATCGAAAGAACAATCACTCTTTAATTTTCTGATATGGGTTTACCCTATGACCCTAAAGAGTGACTAACATTCAATTTCTCCTTAAAATACCACCCTTTAATCACACATTATTTAAGGTCACAAGAAATCAGGAAATGATAACATACTTAAGAAACTCTTGAATGTTTCAGAAATTCTCCTTGTCATAACCTTAGGGAATGTGTGGGTGATAATGCCTGCTGATTTTGAGGTGTAAAGAGTCAAGTGATTACAAAAACAAATGTTACGCGCACTCATGGAATATTCCACATCTGTAAGGAACACATACCTGATTTTTCCTTTTCTTCTACTTTGTCATTTCCTGTTACACAATTGTCAGCAGATGACTCTGAACCATGCCCTGTGTCCAGACATTTTCTACACTCCTTCTCTGAGCCACGCGGTGCACAAGTTACACACTGGCCAGCTTTGTGGTTACAATTTGTAACTTGGATGCTATCAAAACTACCATTACACATGCAAGTGTCACATGCTTGAAGTCCAGTCTTGTTGTCATTATTCATTCCAGAGTTTCCGCACATGTCACAAAGAGAACCATCTTGTAAATGTGCTGTACATCTGATGCAGGATATAGTCCCATTGCTTAGAACTCTGCATGCTGCTGTTGAAATGTTTCTTAGGCACCAAGTGCAGTGAAGGAGTATTTTGTCTGCTAAGTCAACTGGAGTTAGAGAGAAAAAAAAATATGTTACAAGGAATTTTAATTCCTGAGAGATGATAAGAGGCGGAAAGATGCTTAATTATAAAATAAGATGAATTTTACACTTGCATTTTCATTGGTTCTTCCATAAGATCTATTGGAGGACAGATACATAATATCACCACTGACGATGTTTTGCTTCTCCATTATGCATAGTGACACACTCAGCTATGCCTTGTTGGCCTTTTTTTTTTTTGTTCTTACTGCATTTTGATGTTTACTATATGATATATTACTTAACAGATGTGCAGCACAAGGAATCTATTTGTTAAGTACTTTGACTTCTGAAGATTTAATCATTATGTGACTAACATAAGGCTACTCAGAGATTAAAACCTTAATATAAGTAGCAGTCAAGTGGGTGTGTGGTTTACCCATATTTCCTGCACTCATATTGCAATTTTGATAATTTTGCTCTTTTCCAATATACCTTCTGCTGCCTAATATCAAGAGAAAGTTTAGTTTATACAAAGACTTAGGAAATGATGGTCAATAATTGAATAAAAAAAAACCCACTGGAATTTGAACAACTGAATAAAAAAATGGATAGCAGTGTGTGGTTGTCTACATGGTTCTAACAACAATCGAAGAGTGAATGTTTTCTTTGGAATGGTTATTGACAAAACTAATTAGTGATTTTGCTAATAAAATAAATTCAGCTTAACTGATGTGAGAAAAAGCCTCACAAATAATTGTGTTCTACAGTAACAGAAGACAATATATTTTACTGATGTGTATATTGCAGTACTGTAATGTAAAGACTTGGCACATTTACAGATGAATCAGCCTGTACATTTATCATCTCTAGGATTTCAAAAACATAACATAGACAATATGGGCCCAGAACTATAAGAAAAACATGAAAAATAATGCAACAAGGTTCTAACAAATTGCGGACTCATCCCTTAGAGATCACCATATATTTCACCGGGAATTAGTCACTAATCTGATAATAGAACTGGACGAAAAAAAAAAGTATTGATACTGGCGTATTACCAACAGAAAATCCTTTAAAACTTGGAGTCGGATAATCCAATGATAAATCAAAACAATATGATAATTAAGCTTACAGCTATATGTTTGTTGAAGTGTTCAAACTATTTAATCAGACGTCTTTACTACATCGAATATAAGTTTTTCGTACGAAGGCAATGGATACTTTTAATTCGCCACCAGAACTGCAAGATAACATTGACTGGATGCATGAAAGAAAGCACGGTTATTAATGTAGGTTTAGCAAATGCAAATATTGAACACGCACGTGAAATCTGGTGAAGTAATATTACTGAAAACAGCTACAAACTGCTTAAAACTTACTGAAAAGATCTTGGCATACACAGTGAACTTTAAACGATTCACCATGTACATAGAACGAAGTGGAAAAAAAAACAACTCGGCTTACCTTTCGGGGCTCCTTCGTGGGCTTTTATCAACATTGAAAGAATTGTAAGAACTAGTAATCGGACATCCACTTCCATTGCTACAACACCGTGCAACGAACGAGTAAATTTCGTGATGGTAGCCTCGCGGACAAGTTGAAGATTCTAAGAAGTGATAGCTGTGATATTTTTGGCCACTTTTACCATAGCATGAAATTATGCTACCAACGGAAGAGAATCACCGCATTCTTACGACAGGATTTGGCACTTAGCGGAAAAAGCTTACAGGCCCTTATCAGTCGCGGTGGTTTTCCCAGGTCTTGAAAAGAATTTTTTTTAAGGAAGCTTTGGGGCCGCTCTCGCTCTGCCAACGCTGAGAAACTGGTACGGGCCAGCTTTGATGACGTCATGGAAACTTCATTTGGTCTCAAATTCTTGTTCGACTTATTAAAAGTTATATCAAGAAGGTTTCGCGCTAAGTCCTTGCTTGATTCTGCGAATTAAGCGGGCGACGAAAGCTTGAGGAAACGGAGAATCATGACCGTTCTATTTCTGGGCCAACAATAAAAGCTACAAACATGAAAAATGGTAATTCTTTCCCCTCTTAATCAACCTTGCATTTTCATTTTTTTTCTTAAAGTAATTCCGGTTACACCCTCAATGCAATTGGGTGTACTACTTCTGTCTAGTCACGGTGGTCCTGGATGGAGATTTTCCTAAGGATTTACGAGTGGTCACGTTTTGCTGAAACCGACTTCTTTAAGACTTCAGGAGAAAATGACGTGGGAGAAGACATTTGATTTGAAGTGAGACATTTTTGTCATCAAGTTACATTCACAGGAACAGTTGAAGATGCGCTGAAGTGCGGTTGTTAGATAAAATTTTCTGAGTTCCGGTCACCCGCAACTATTTCTTGTATTAAAGGTTTCAACTGAATCAATGGTGTTGTACAAGAAGTTAAATCACGTCAAAAAAATAACGCAGGTGGTGGGAAGTGGACAACTTCTTCGCGAATAAGAGTAAAGAAAGCTACGCTCAGTTCTGGAAGAGACACGTCAGATTTATTTCATAATTGCACAATTCGTCACCAAATTGTATGTTTTGCCAATTGACACTGAATACGCATCCATTCGATCTTGAAACAGAAAAATAAATGAAATTACTGCTCTTTCAATTATAAGGACAAGAAAATGTTCAAGAATCAAACCTTGTATTTTCGTCTAATTAGTTTATTTCATTACTGGACTTCATCTATCAGTTTTTCCAACAGATTCAGGTCTAGATTTTGGGAAAATCAGATTTGTCTGCAATCCCTATCCGCGCTGACTGCGCCAGGATGGATAAAGTGCGGAAAAAATATGGTTTCAAGAGTAAAAAGTCATATACTAAAGTCTCAGAGTCCTCTTAACACCTAGGGAAAACAAAATGCACCGTGATCATGTCCTTCTTTCTGTGTCTTAGTTATGGAATCTTATCAATACCTACTATTAGACGATGTTCAAGCTGGTGCTTAACTTAATCCTTAGCACCCTAATATCAGTACACAAGTTCTCCTCACTGTTCTCCGTGCGCTTCTCATGGTACTTGGAAGGAGAATTTGTCGAACAATCAAGAGCTCTTCAGTTCACGATCACAGATGAAAGTTTTCTTTATCCTCATAACCTTATTATTTGATTCAGGGGTGATACTTTAGGGATAAATTTGATGATGTAGGTTCTCTACAACAACACGCAAGGCGTTGGGTATAAACGTCGCAATACGCGAATAAGAAAAATTTTAGCCATTCACTAAAACGAGAACTAAGACAAGGACATCCTACTTGAAACAAACTTCACAGAATGCTTATTAAGGGATTAGAATAAGCATTTGTTCGGTTCAGTCTCCCTATTACATAATTTGTTGCAGCCTAACACAAATAATTATTCATCTTTAGAAAACAAACTTACAAAATGTCATTTGCGTTCATACGTAAAAAATTAGGAATACGAGATTATTCATTGCAAAGCGCTGTCTCACCACCTCGATGCAAGTTTACATTCAGCTTTCAGCAATTAGGAATCTTGCTCAACCATATTGTGATTGCACTAAGTTTCAGCAATTTCAATTTGGTATAAAATACATCAACAGACAGTGGACATAGCTGAGTCATTTCAGCAACATATTTAGCAGTATACCAACTGCATATCCAGCTTTGTTCAAGCCCATTTTTGTTTTTCATCGCGGTCAGATACACTCTTGGTTTAATTAGATCATCACCGTGAGACTTGATGGCAGAGGAGGCAAGGTAGACACCAAAACGAAGGGAACCCTTTTGTATCATAATTCCTCATATGTCACGCCACCTTGCACACCATCCTCGCTTTTCCCTTTACCGTGCTTGCTACGATGTTTCTTTTTCTTTTCGCCTTCGTCGTCTCGACTTCTCCTCCTGTCCTTTCCTTCGTCGGTTTCTCGATGTCGCGATTTTCGCCTCTCTTTATCTTTCTCCTTCTTTTCACTATCTTCTTCGTCTTCCCCTTTATCCTTATGCTTTCGTTTATGTTTACTTTTAGATTTCTCGCCGCTCTGAAGAAAGAAAACAAATACAAAGCTGAGACTCTACTTAATAAATAGATTTCGAGTTGCCGTGCTTCTGTTTAGCAATAGATTAGAGTGGGACACGAGGCGCAGCCGAGTGAATCACTGATGTTCTTCCCACATTTTGATATCCTCTGTGATCTATCACTGTGCAGACCCACAGCAACACGGAAGCTGCTCGTAGTTCAGACATACTGAAGATACTTATCACTATGTTTTCATTTCATAACGTGCGAGCAGATCGAGCCGAAAGCCATGCACCAAATTTTAAATTCATTTTGCGATTCATTTATTTACATATATATGTTATTTCAGTCACCATCATATATATTTCCAAGGAGTCTGTTCAAAGTTACCGAATACGGGAAGTCATAAACAGAGAAAGAGAGTTCTTAGTAGCCAGTGAGCTGGACCCTACAGGCGCTGAAGCACGAGCGGCGAACCCCGCGTTAGGTCAGAGAGGTGTCTGTCACAAAAAGAGAGATCATCCCAAAGCGATCGAGCAACAAAAAAGACACGCGTAGCGCCTCACGCGTCTAAATTGATATTTTTCCTTATTCTCGTCACTTATCTGGTTAATATTGTATTGCTATTTTAAGGAAAATTCTGTCTTCGTCATTCATGGGAGTTAAAGGGTTACAGGGTTAAGAAGCAAAAATGCCGGAAGTAGAGTATATGAGCAGATCCTTGAACAAAAGCACATACCTTGTGCTCTTTCTTTTTACGGCTTCTACTTTCTTCATCTAAACGCGGATAGGAAGGAGAGAAATGACAATTAGCTTACAGCAGAATCCTAAATATTAAACGTCGTCGATATTCCTCAACTTCTCTCAACAGCTTTGCTTTAAATTACATGAACACAACGACTTCCGCTTCAGACCAGTTTCTTACTTCTCATTAAGACCACATACTATTAGATACAAAGAATGCAAGGAGAAAATCAGTGCCGATCATTACACAACAATTGTTCTAAGGTTTCTTCACTTACTTGTATCTCCATTGTCTTCTCCATCGAGGCCCATGTCTATTAAAGAGTTAGATGCTACAACGAAAGAAAAAAAACAGAACAACTCAAAAGTTTAATAGTAGTCTGAGGAAGAGGCGACCTGAGTGTTCTCACAGCGCTTCTTCACCCAAGAGAATAAATGGGTTCTGGCGAATTGTCAGGAAAGCCTGATGAAATGCCGGGGCGTAACTTTGCGATGAACTGGCATCCCATCCAAGAGATACTCCTAGTTGCCTCATGCTAAGGAAACTGGGATAAGCTTTAGCTGGATGGGCCACTTGGCATGAGTGCAGAAGTTCCCTGTCTTGCTACCTGGGGAAAATCCTTTTTTTACGAGGTTAACTCAAGCTACAGTGGAATGCTGTACAGGGCAGGAAAAGAACAAAAAAACGTAGCTGCTTACCAGTTTTTGCTACTCTGGTTTGTTGCTTCATTTGTGATGCCATGAACTGCTCCCAATCATCTGCCGGTATGACAGGAGTGTCGCTTTTTCTAACAAAACATAATTGAACACAAATCATTTTTGGTTCTTCTTGTTGTATCCACAATTAGAAAATAAGATTCAAATCGTAACACAAATTCTCTAGTTAACCACATTTATCAGTAATCAAAAGTATAGCGAGCAATGCAGGCGTCTTATAAGGACGTATTTGCGTTAAAATCTCGTGATTTTCTATGCAGCCGGCCATGTTTGATTTAGAATAAGAGTGGACGGTCGCCCTCCTCTGCCTTAGTACAAATTCCTTTCTCTCCTCAGCCTTCCGCGGCTATAAAAGTCAAAGATGGTAGCTATGATTTTTACCAAGAAAATACTAAACACTCGCTCGCCAAAATCAGACTGCAGGCTATAAAACGCTGGGAATTTAATTCACTGACCTTGTATTGTAGTCTTTGTCAACACGGAACGGAGTCTTTGGTGCAGAAAGAAAAATACATGACAAGAAAAAAACATAAGATTTTCAATCATACAAATATCGAGGCTGCAAGAAAATAAAGAACCTTTTTGAGCCTATAAATTCTCACGATAGGGTGAGTAAAATCCCCTCAGTTATCGCTACGTCACAAGAAATTCGAGACTTAAGTTTTGAGTACAAATAGTGAGCAAGCGAGCGCGAGTCATTGTATTAGAGAGAAATAAGAAGCAGCCGCAGGGGGGCGTAACTAGAATTTTTAAGACAGAAGCGGAGAGGGGATCACACGTATGGGCCAGTGTAATACTGCCAAGAGCAATGCAGTGGCCGTGTCTCTTTTTCACAAGAACATTTCAAGTCTGTGGAAGTATAAATGAGAAGATGAAAAGAAGAAATTAAACAAATAAAACAACAATGCTGAAGTAAGAAGCAACTCACTTATTTCCCTCTTAACTGTAAGGACCAAACACCGAGTCATTTTTTTTTCTGTCGGTCGGGAAACTTAGCTCTAAGATTTCCGGAGTTTCAACGATATAACATAAGCCTACAGTTTGTAATCAACAATACCTTGGGATCTGTATCAGGCGAGTTCAGCCAATCATCGACGTCGTCTGTTGCAAGACCAAGACCATCTACAACAGGTTCTTCTGTCATCAGAGACTTGGCTGGTATTTCAAAGCCTAACTTCATGGATCCACTTTCCCTTTTTTGTGTTTCCTCAGTCTTCAGTTCCTCCTTTCCTTTCTTCATTCCATCATTTCTCGTTTCCACCTCAACTTTGTCCTCTTCATCTTCTTTGTCTTCCTCGCTTGAAGTTA